TGAGGTGTTTTACACAGAGTAGGTCTATTTTACAGAGGAGGAAATGGTCATAAAGCTAATACATTTCAGATCCCCAGTTTAACCAAGCAGTCTTGACCCTGAATTTCAACCAACCCCTACACTACCTCAGTGACTCAGAATGGAAAACCAGGATCTCCTGAAGAGCCTGAGCCAGGACAGTAAGGCAAGCAGCCCGGGGCAGCATTTCTCAGCCTGAAGACTGAGAGAAAGGTGGGCGACACCCCTCGTGCACAGGAGCCTGGGACTGTGTGCACACCATCTGTTTAGCCTGCAGCCCTCACCCCGGGAGAGTTAAGGCAGATGCTTAAAGGAAAGTCTGACCACATAGGGCACAACACATCTAGCATGCAGGAATTAGAACACTTAAGGGACGATTTCTCCTCACAGAGTAACCTTAGGGAGCTGCAGGTTAACAAGGAAAGGTAAATGTCACAAGACTGACATTTTCACTTATGTCTGAAAACAATTTAAAGTCTTGGACTGAACAGCCCAAAGACAACTTCAGAGCTGGGTCTCCAGGCAGCCTTTACCCCGGCTCTCCTAGAGGACAACAGACATTTGCCTAGCTCAGGCCTCAGGGCTGATACAACCCGGGATTCCCAATCTCTTCCCAAAGCCTCCCTTACCTTCGGGAGGCTGGTCAGCTCTGCCAGGTGCTACAGCTGTCTTCCTGGGCCTCAGATGGTTTTGTTAACAGGATCCCTTACGTGACCACCATTACAGCATTGGCTACAGTCTTCTTAATATGCAAACCTGCTATTCTGCTGGAAGGTTTTCAAGGATTGTGAAGGAATTCTGCCCTACAGACAAACCCCTTGGGACTGATACACTTAAATATATCCTAGACCAAACCACAAGCTTTTTGTGTCTTCTTTATCTCAGGGCATCTTGATGGGGCACGGGGAGTGATATAGGAAATGTTTAACCTGATAAAATTTTTAAAAATGAACTTTGTTTTCAAACTCAATGATCAGATGTTGCAGCATGTGGCTTAGTTTCTGCAGATGGCCCTAATGGGGTAGTGTGCAGGTAAGGCAGGCCTCAAGCTCTCCTAGCCCTATCCAGCCCATCTGATACCCAATCGGAAAGGATTTCTGATCCTTCCCCCTGCTTGCCTATGGCCCTTTTCCCATGGTCCACTTCTGTATTTATTTTAAGTTTAACCTTTAAAAATTTTCCAGTGTGTCACAAGGGAGCTCCCAAGGGGCATGTCCTGCCCCAGGAAGTCAGTGTTATGATTTGAAAGCCTTTTGTTTCCTCTTTGTGGAGTGTTTTCCAGATTGCACACATAGGTGAGAGGCTTCAATCATAAGCTGTGTAGCAGCTCTGCAGAATTCTTAGAAATGTTTACGCAGGGTGCATGGCATCACCTGGAAGGGGTAGCCAGGACACTCTCTCTTCGTCCTACTTACCTGCAAGAGGTTCTGACCCAACAGTGTGACCCTGCCTCGAAATGGGGGTAAATGGTGTAGTACTTCTAGAATGTGTCAAGGACAGGGCATTTTATTGACTTTCTCAGCAACAGTACTAAAAGCAAAAACGCACCAAAGACTTGAAAAGCTGAGATGTGTAAAGATGAGGTGCCGGGAACAGCTGCGTGTTCTCCGCAGAGTGTCACCTTCCTGAAAGCAGTATTAAAACCTTTCCTTCCTCTGTCCAGAGACTTACATAACAGGCTTTATAAATTTCAAACACTAACGACCTTGAAAGTAAACAGGATAATCACTGTTACCGTTAACGATCTCAGTAATCAGATGCTGGCTGTTCTTTCACCTCTAACAATAAGAAGCCAGTTCTTCAGAATTATGGTCTTATCAGCCAATAATTTTTTAAAAAGTGGAATTTGATGGTAAGTAAGCATCTTCAATTTAGAGCTGGTAAAACTGAGGTGACACCAGAACAGAGATTGAAACTGAGACAGAACTGGAAAAGTAACTCAGCCATCCCCAGCTTCAATGACATTTTCTCTCTCCTAGGTGCTGCCTCCTGTGGGCTTTAATGGTACAACTGGAAACACATCTGTTTGCTTCAAATAACTAGCAAGATACACTGTTACACTGAAGTTCTCCTGGTAGACATGATGGATAGATGTTGGGGTGAAAATCTTCCAGTAATCAGCTCTTCGTGGTTCAGAAGCCCAGGAAGATATGAGTAGCAGCAATGAGGACGTGGCTCTGGTGTAGATTCTCCCCAGGACACTTTGATTCCTTCTCCAGTGTGGAATGTACATAGTGTCACGGGCCCTACTCCTCCCAAAAATCTCAGCAGAGGTAGTAACACCTTAGTTCCAAAATTTCATCACCATGAAAACAAAACGCTGCAGTCTATTTCAGATAATTTTCAGTCTCATTAAAATTTTTATTGAAATCTCTCAAATGTTGCCAAGAAATAGTTTTTGTAAAAGGTGAGGAAATAGCTAACAAGCACATTCAACAAGGGAGCTCCCTCTGCTGGTCTGCAGTAGGTTGATATGTTACAAACACATTCCCAGAGACAAATCTAATTTGCTGGAGAAGTGGACAAAAGACAGGTGTGTTGGGCTTTGCCTCAGGAGAGAAACACTAGAAGAAAAAAAAAATCCATGTCTCAAAACAGAGTATAACATTACTACAAAAAGCAAAATTACTTAGAAGTTTCTTCCAAAGATATAAGACTGCCAAAATAAAAACATTTATCCGGTATAGGAGATGCTCTGCTCTGGCCTTTCCACTCTGTTCTACCTCCAAATAATAAAATTCTCTCATCTTGGGCCCTTTGATTGGAGGTAAGTGCTGTGTCCCTTGCCTTTGCCTCCAAGATTCTTCTTACGAGTTTCCCCATCTAATTAGAGAAGAAAGGTCCCAAGGAGTCATTGAAATGAAGCCTCTGGTTAGCCAGCCCCACAGAGCGGAAGGAGCAGGGGCTGGAAAGTCAGGGCACCTGGGTCTAGCTATGGTCGAGCCACTTGTGACCTTGGATAACTCTTTCCATCTTCTCAGGTCTGTTCCTGTGTCTGTAAAGTGGGTCAGACCAGTTTATATGAAAAATCTCTATCAGTTTATTCTGTGGACCTCACATTGGACAGATCAATATAAAACTCAAGATTAAACAGGGAATACTCCAAGCCAGAAGTGAGACTGAGCACACGGATCTTGTTTCTAGCAGGTGAGAGTTCCACCAAATCTAGGGCAGATGTGGCAAAACCAAGTGGATCCCAAGCTGAGGAAACCTCAGGAGTATGGAAGAGTTCACAGGGGAGGGGCCTCTCATAGGCAATGCGCCTCAGTATCAATAACGGTTGAGTCCCTCTGATTTTAACACTATTTCTCCCCAGGTTTCCTCTCAATGGAAAAACCTTCTGTTATCTTAGATTCTTTGGCCCCTTCTCCACCATATTCCTAAATTATCCCTGGTCTCATTCATTACATGACTGAAGCAAGGACAAATGACCCTGCTGTCATGTCCAAAAGTCACAGTTCCCAGACCAACTCTCAATTATCCAGGGTGATGATTAAACACTTTGCTGCTGATTAATCAAAGTCACTGCCTACGGAAACCCAGCACTGTTTCAAGGTATTTATTACAATTTTCCTTACTTCCCAACTGATTTGTAATCTATTTACAGGTAGTCCCCACTTTAAGATGTATTCGAGTTATGATGAATTGCACTTAGAACTCTCTGACTTCTGTTCTGGTATATCTTACCATTAGTAACATGGTATAGTGAATAATTTGTCGATGTTGTCCTTACATGCTTAATGTTATATTTCACAAAACATGGCTAGATTTCTGAAGATATTCATAATAATGAAAATTTGTAAAAAAAGGTGAAACATTTGACTTATGTCAGAAGTGACTTAGAGTCATTGGAAAGGAGCAATGCTGAGGTAACTTGAAGACTACTATGTAGACCATGAAAAAAGAAAGCGAGGTAGTCTAGCTAAGGAAGAGGAAGAGAGCAGACACGACATTCAGAGACAGAAAAGTGCAGGGTAGGGAACAAACAGAAAGGACTTTTGGCTGTTCCAGAGCAGACAACGTCCCGATTGTTTCCACCCGCTTTTCCTCCCCTCCCCTGCTACCTGGCACAGCAAGGGTTACCAAGCAGTGACATGGACAGAAAGTGGAGAGAACACCAAAGGAGGAGCTCATCTCAACACTGATCGTTGGCTTCTGAATAAGCCAGAGGTACCTGTTAATAAGGATTAACTTTTTTCTGTGCCAAGTAGTCTAGCCATCACCAGCAACCTTTTTTTCATAAAGGTTTTATTTCTACTTCCTTTCCCAGTTCTTCTAAGAAAGTCCAAGTCCTCCTCAGGGACTCTGTCTGCCTTCATTGTGCCTGGGCAGCCAGGCTATGCATGCACGAAGCACTGACAATTCAGCTGAGAGAGAATGGAAGGATGCCCCAGCCTACAGTGCTCCTGACCCCAATGGCTGTGGGAACCCTCCCTGGGGGCTGATAGGTTCACACAGGTGTCTCAGTTAACATAAGTGTGTTTTGTACAACATAGAACAACATAGAAGAGGTTTAAGGAAAAATGATGTGTTTTCTGGAAAGGTGTTTATTTCATTCAGCCTTATAAATAGACACAAACAAAACAAGAAAGCCCACCTGTCCAGCTCAACAAGTTTTCGAAAACCAGGCTTTCCTACTTCGAGGTGTTACACACTCCTTGCATATTTTATACAAATGAAATCTATATTCTATCTTCTTTGGTAATGATCGTCACTCTTTGCTGGACAAAGAATGAGTGGTTAATTCCAAAGTTGAATCGTAACATTAGTTACTATTACTTAAATTAAAATCAAAGAAACATTTTCTCCAAGGGGAGAGAAAGGGTTAGTAAGCAGGCAGTAATCTTTGTGGAGCAACAAGAGAGTTTGTTTATAAAACTCCGGCTATTCTTATCTAAGAAAGAAAGTCAGAACCGTGATCTCTACCTGGACCTGTAATTACACTCTAGACATTATACTGTATCTCTTTTCCTGCAGGGGTTCCTAAAAATGGCAAGACACCACCACCTTTACTTTTTGCCATGACATATGCAAGGTACCATATAGTTTTCCTCCTAGAAGCTCCAAACTTTCCACTTTGGCCACTAGATTCTCACAAGAGCAGACCTTTCAATGCACAGAAACACACACAGCCACACGTGACTCTTGCTACAGGAGCTCGCCTCCTAGGGGCCCCTCCACACAGCAGGGCTCACACACGTTCACACTCAGTGATGCCCTCGGGCTAGTGGAGCCGGGGAGGGAACCTTGCCTCAGTCCCTCGAGTGTGCTATGAGGGTGAGATCATTAAGGAAAAGAGAGGGTGTCACTTGGGGCAAACATCAGGCAGTGGGTGATATCATTGCTGTCAGACGGTCCTCCTAAGTCCTGGAGGAGTGTCAGCTTGATTTAGAGGGGCTCATTAATCTCTTGAAGGTGGATCTGTTAGCTGGATAGGTGTTAGTTGTATGGTGTGCTCTGGGGAACCAGGTTTGAAAGGACTGGTGGTGGAGTGAGTGAAGTCGTGGCCGATGGGTCTCAATTACCTGGGCATGCAGTGAAGCGGGATAGGTGAAAGCAGGAGGAGGTAGAGCAGGCGCTAACTCCGCTGGGTACAGAGGGTACGGGGCCCACACTTCAGGGCTACTGGGGTAAAGTGCAGGCACTGTGAGCTCATCTGCAAGAAAAGAAGAAGGGAGAGTTAGCGGTTACGAGACAGCCGGTTTCAATTCAGAAAACAAAACACCAATAACCCCAAGGCCCAATTCGTCTCAGAAGTCAAATTACTCTCCTACTTTTAATAATCTGTTGGACATGGTCTTCCGAACGCTTAAGGGAACAGTAAATACAAGAGAAAAAGGCAATGAGGATCCTGGCTGCCTGTCTGGCCGGCTCAGATTTCTGGCCTAGGCTCCACCTTGGACATGGATGTCTTTCTAACTGTAGCTGGGACAAAATGACGACAGTGAGGATTTCCTGCCCAAAACAACAAATGTGACCCACCTTTCATGAAGAACAGGTAGGAGACAACCCACTGAGAACAGTGGGGAGCCTGTGGGAGAATAATGGCTTGCTGGTAAAACTCCAGTTGACCAGAAGAGCCCTAAGATTTCTGGGCTAATTAGCATAACTATTGTTAACAATTAAATGAGAATCATCAAGCATTTGGAAAGCACAAGGCCAAACTCGTGACCACAGAGCATTCAGATAGTAAAACTTCAGACAACAGAAGTGAAAAAACACCTTGAGCATTCCGGCTCAAGGCCATAAAGAAAGAACACTTACAGCTACTCTTAATACTGACTGTATTTTTTCAGAGAAGGAAAGACAGTCATATTGCCAACTGCCTGGCCTATGTCCCTCATGCAACCCTGACTCCAGCTGGGTCAAGATTCAGTTGGCCAGATTAAGGGTAAGTGTGTGGGCCCTGAAGCTATCCATTAAAATACCAGTAAACACATGAGGAAGCTTTGCAGCAAATGCAAAAGTAACCTCACGCAACAGTTAAGAATGTGGACTCTGTGAAACAGCAACTGCACTGTGCGCTTTTATCACCTGTCAAAATTTGAAGTCAAGTAGGCCAGGGATGTTACTAAGGACTGTGGAAGACGCCGGGAAAAGGCGACTTGATAATGTCATTAGTGATGCTGCCATTCAGAACTGTCCAGAAAAAGTCTACAGTGCACGTGGTCAAGGTCAACGGAGTCTCCATGCTCTCCTGCCATCTAAGAAGCCACTCCAGGTCTGTTCCAGCACTTTCCACGACACCCTTTCCACCACAAAGGTCCCGCTCTGGACTGGGACTTCAATAAAGCAAGCAAGCCAGAAGCAGAAGATGGATTTGCTGGGACTGGTGTGGGAATCATTCCATGGAAAAGCAGACGCCACCGAGCCTGTAGGCAGGTGTGAATGTGGGGTGCCAGCTGTGGTGAGGCCTCTGTAAGCTGGCCTACAAAGCGGTGCCTGCTCACAGAAGCCTATTGATGACTATCCACTCAGGGCACACAGTATTCACTTCCAGACGAAACAGTGGATCGCAGACATGCGGCTTAATGCTGACTGGCCTTGTTGCTTTCCGGCTCTCAACAAGGCAGTTAGAACTGCCAGCTCAGAACTTTGGAATACCAGCTGATCGTGAGTTCAAGTTCAAAGATGGGTAGGTGCTTGTGGACCCCGGTGTAGGAAACTTCTCACAAGGGCCCGAATGGACACTTACCAGCCCTGAGCTCCTGTCATGATGAAGCCATACGATTTCCATTAGAGCCACTTGTGTGGGAGCTCGGCAAGTGGAAACTAACTGCTGGCAGAACCAATGCCTCAGATTTTAAACAAACAACTGTTCTCAGGAACGGGCATGCTATTATTGTTGTTGTTATTTTAGCTACCACGCTATTTTAAGACATTCTAAGTCTTTTTTAAAAGTCAAGAGAGTCCCAAGATCCAGTCCACTAATGTTTAGCCCATGCTTGTCCGGCCTGCTGTGACAGCAGGGAGACAGGAACGCCTGAGAGGGATGTGCTTGCTCTTGGCCTCTAGTGTCTGTGGCTGACTGCCCCTTCTCATCTACCTGTCTAACAAGAACTAGCTTTTGGAGGGAGCTTTTACCTTATCAATAGATATTTCCATTATAAGTTTTTAAAATTAAGTGAATATAGTGTATATGCATGATAAAAACAAAATAACAAGATTATTTAATCTTAAAGACAATCAGCAGAGATATGGTAAAGGCAGGTTTCAATGGCAACCTGACTGATGAAATATGATTTTCAGTCATTTCCACACTTCTCCCTGGGTTTATAATGATACTTTGAGTTAACTCATGGATTCATTTTTGCGTTAAGACCTAGCCCAGTACAACAGAGGTTAGGTTTCAAAATCACCTGCACCCAATGTTGCTGAGTTATAGTTTAATGAACTAGTCAAGCAAAGGTCTTTAGAAATGATGGTTAATTTACATTTCATCCCTTAATACTACAATTACCTTCCCCTGTTCTCCTTGACAGAATCTGTAAGTCTCAAGAGACCTATGTTATATATTGGGTTGGCCAGGAGGAAGATGAGTGTGTGATATGGTGAAAAGTCAATGGGGATGTTTCTTTTGGGGAGTAGAGTGAGATGAGGGTAGGAAAGATGAGTTCAAGGGCTGGATAATGAGAGCCCCAGCTGCCATGTCCAGAATTGTTTAATACAGAATGAAAAGTCCCAAAACTTATTCAAAGTTATATCACTATTTTCTTTTGCTAAAGAAACGTAGGGAAAATTCTTGAGCTCTGCATCCAAAACGTCCCAGTCTTTGACATAGTTCTCTCTCACACACACAGATATGTACACAGAGTGAGAGAGAACACTGATTAAGTGGAGGTTCAGACAAGAACAAATGTTAGTGCCATGATTTTCAACCTTTCTTCAAATAAATTTTCCTCAGAAACCCCTGTAAATAAAAGTGTACCTATTTTGATTTCTCTGGTGGACAGGGATGGCTGGGGTGCCCCAACACTTGTAACAGTCCCTGAGCACAAGAGGGTTCCAAGGAACACAGTGTAAGATATTCCTACAGCTCTTCACTTGAGCCAGTTTTTATAATATCTTCCTTTTCAAAATCTCTTGGTCTGAGGAAGAGAGGGACAAACACAGCTGGAACAGCAGGGAAAAGAGAAACAAAAACAAACTGAAAAACTTTGTTGGAACAAAACAAGCTTTCTTCATTTTCTTTGCAAACAGGGACCAGACAAGGATGCCCACTGTCACCACTTTTATTCAAAACTGTATTGGAAGTGCTTGCTAGAGCAATACGACAAGTGAAGGAAATAAAAAGGCATCCAGATCGGCAAAGAGATGGTTAAACTGTCACTATATGCAGATGATATGATAGTGTACACAGAAAACTCCAAAGACTCAACAAAAAAACTGTTAGAGTTAGTAGGCTAATTTAATAGGGTGGCAGGATATAAGATCAATATCCAAAAAATCAGTAGGATTTCTCTACAGTAACAATGCTAACTCAGAGAAGGAAATCAAGAAAGCAATACTATTTACAATATACAACTACAAGTTGAGATACTTGGGGAATGAACCTAACTAGAGTTACAAAAGCCCAATACAAAGAAAACTACAGAGCATTTCTGCAAGACACAATAAAAGACCTAAAGAAATGGAAAAATGTGCCCTGTTCATGGATGGGAAGACTCAATATGGTGAAAATGACAATCCTACAAAAAGCAATCTACATGTTCAACACAATCTCTATCCAGATGCCAAATTCATTTTTCAAGGAGATTAAAAGGGAAACTGTCAAATTGATTTGGAGAGGAAGAGACGCCGAATAAGCAAAACACTTCTGAGAAACAAAGATGAGGTGAGAGGCACAGTACTCTCTGATCTCAAAACCTACTACACAGCAGTATAACCAAAACAGTGTGGCACTGGTACAATGACAGGCACACAGACCAATGGAACAGAATTGAGAACCCAGAAATAGACCCAGCTCTCTATGGTCAACTGATATTCAACAAGGAAATAAAACCTATTAAATGGGGAGATGACAACCTCTTCAACAAATGGTGCTGGCAAAACTGGACTTCCACCTGCAGAAAACTGTAACAGAATCCACATATCACACCATACACAAAAATCAACTCAAGATGGATCATAGACCTGGGAGGAAAGCCCAAAACCATGAAATTCATAAGAGACAAACTGGGATCAAGCTTAGAAGTGCTAGTCCAAGGTATAAGGAGACTGCCAAATATACCTAGAAATGCACAATCTGAAGAGGATAAATTTATGCATGGTACCTTCTAAAGATTAAATCCATGTGTGCATAAAAATAAAATCTCAGACAGGAGTCTCATAACAAAAGTTTAAAGAATACTTCTGGGCCTCCACAAGAAAAAGACTGGGAACCCAATTACAAAATGGACAAAAGACATGGAAAGAATTTTCACAGAAGAAGATATTCAAATTGCGAACAGACACACGAAGAAATGCTCCAAATCACTGGCAATAAGAGAGATGCAAATCAAAACCACAATGAGGTACCATCTCACTCTAGTAACAGTGGCAAAGTTTAACAGGGCAGCAAGTAATAAGTGGTGGTGAGGATGTGGCAAGAAAGGCACTCTAATACACCATTGGTGGGATTGTAAAATAGTACAACCATTTTGGAAGGCAGTTTGGCACTTCCTTAAAAAAAAAGCGCCAAAAATAGAAATTTCATATGATCCAACTATTCCACTACTTGGAATATATCCTTAGAAAATGAGAACTGAGGCACAAATGGAGACTTGTACACCAATGTTCATAGCAGCATTATTAATCATCACAAGAACATGGAAACAGCCCAGAAATCCAACTACAATGGAATGGATTGAGAAATTATGGTACATTCACACAATGCTACTCAGTACTAAGGAGCAATGATTTTATAAATTATTAACTAACTTGGGAGGGACTGGAAAGCATTATGCTGCATGAACTAACTCAGTCCCACAAGGACAAATACTGTCTAAAACTATTACTGTAGAACGAATGTAAGGCTCTAAGGGGAGGGGAACGTGGATGCAGAGGGATGAGGATGTGTGGGGGGTGGGGGGGATGACTCATGGGGTTGTGCAATTTGATGCGGGGTATGAGGGAAATTGGAAGAATCTGTTCTGGAAAACAATGTACATGAATCTT